GCTTCTGCTTCAGCCTATTTGCTGGGGATTCCCAAATCTGTGTATGTCTCAAACTATTAAAATAGTTATAGCTCTCTGCTTCTGGCCAGGTTTTCTTCTGTCTTCCACGTGGCTAGCAGAAGGATTGCTCTACAATACAAATATAATCTTGTCATTCTCCCTTATATGACTCCCTGTCACCTGCATGGTAAAATCCAAATTTACCTCCATGGCCTATCTCTGTAGTATATTCTAAATCCACTGTACACTCTCTACTTAATCATACTAAATTTTTTATTCTTGCCTGATTATACTCTGCTGTTTCTTGGCATATATCCATGGCTTGGCAGATGCTGTTCCTCTTACATAGAATGCCTTTCTCCATCTTTGTTAGCATGGTGAGCTTTATTTATCCTTGAAGATCAGCTTTAGCATCATCTCTGTGAAGATTTCTCTGATCATCCAAGGCAGAGTTAATCATTATCTGCCTTGTACCATTTTTACTTATCTCTGTTTTTAATACTTCTGACATTTGCTATGTTGTAACTCTTTATTTGTCAAACTTGCATTATAGACATTGAGTTTTCATTAAATCAGAGATTGTGTCTTCTTCATCTTTGGATCCCCAGTGTTTAACGAAGAACCTTATAGATAGTAGATGCCCCCATAAATGTTTAATGAAAGAGCAAATATTTGTGCTCTCTATGAATTCACTGTGGTAAATACACTGTCTTGTGGATTTCTCCATATCAAGTAATAATATCAGTACACTGTTGTAACACCATAAGAGAGGAATGTGCCAGGTAGTCTGGTAACCTGGAAGAGGGAAGGATTGGGTGGTGTGGAAAAGGTCAGAAAAAGTCTTCACAGAGAAATGGGAAACAGCCTTGGTATGTACAGAAAAGAAACTAGTTCAAGGTATGAGGAATCCCCAGTGTGCAGGAGTAATAGGAGATGACTTTGGAAAAGAAGGCAGAGGCCACAAAATGAAGAACACTTTACGCCCTACTTTAGAACTTGAGCTTTACCCTATAGGGGAGATAGTAAAGGTTTTATCCAGGAAGGTGATAACATATTTTTGCTTTTCAAAGATAGGCAGTTGTGTGGAACAAGGAATGAAGGAGTGTGAGAATGGAAATAGAGAGACTAGTTAGAAGAAGCTACTAGTATAGGATTTCTAAATAGTATTTGACTAGAAGGAAAAGAATTATAAATCCTTCTCTGTGTAACAGAGAAGGGGGAATGGTCTCTGGGTAGACCTGGCTCTGCTGTTCTCTCTCTTTGGTAAAAGAGCAAAACCTCTTTTTTGTTCTCATGGTAGAGTGTGGTAAACCCCCATTTGTGTCAGCAGTTAATACCATTACTCCTAGTGCAGTTCTCACGTGGTGTGCGGCGGTGGCTGCGTTCCTCTGTTCATAGTGCCCTCTAGCATCTTGGTAAAACAGCGATAAAATATTTCTTGCAACTTTCTGACTGAATGCTGATTTGTTTCATTTCTACAGCAGTTTCACCTAACTGTATGGATGATTACTATGACCAAAAAACAGATATATCTGTCTCTTTTTTTTCCCCGAGGACCAACTGAAGAATCTTTGCAGCTTACCTTAACATCCAAGTCGAATCCATTTTTCTTTTACTACTTTCCCAATTCAAATAGGATGTTAAACGGTGTATTTGAAAATAAACTAAAAAGGATCTAGAAACACTCTACCAAATACAGTGCACTCTCGTATCCCTGGGTTCTGCATCTGCAGATTCAACCAACTGCAGAGTGAAAGGCCTACATGGTTGCGTCATGGTTTTGAGCACATACAGACTTGTTTTTCTTGTCATTATTCCCTAAACTATATAGCAACTATGTACATAGCATTTGCATTGTATTAGTAATCTAGAGATGATTTAAAGTATATGGGAGGATGTACGTAGGTTATATGCAAATACTACACCATTTTATATAAGGGACTTGAGCTTATATAGGATTTTGGTATCCACACCCATTCCTGGAACCAATCCCCTGGGGATACTGAGGGACTACTGTAATGTCAATCAGAACTTTACAAAGAAAATGCTTCTCACTGTGAGAATTTTGTAATCCGTTTGTCTCTACTCCCCCAAGCCCCAATTTTAAGTATTTTATTGTTAACAGAAGTTCATTTTTGACTTTAGAACTACTGGTTATATAGCCTTATAGAAGGTAAGGTGTGTCTTAATCTTTGTAACCCAAACTGTCACAGAGTTGACACAATGTTTCTTCCAGTAAATGAACAGTAAGCTTTATTTACTTATTTATTTTAAAGATTGGCAACAGATGTTAGCTTGGCACACCTAAGCTAACATCTGTTGCCAATCTTCTTTGGTTTTTTTCTTCTGCTTCTCACCGAAGCCCCCCAGTACATAGTTGTATATTACAGTTGTGACCCTGCTGATTGTGCTGTGTGGGATGCCGCCTCAGCATGGCCTGATGTGTGGTTCCATGTCTACGCCCAGGATCCGACCCAGCGAAACTCTGGGCTGCCAAAGCGGAGCACACGAACTTAACCACTCGGCCACCGGCCAACCCCAGTAAACTTTATTTTTATAAAAATGTTAGGGATTTTTGCTATTAACTAGCTTCAAGGAGGATTTTCTGCATAAGAAAGCAGGTTATTTAGTGTTCCATTTACTTCTTTCTAACCTGTTTTGATCTTTCATGAATTCTGCATTTTTTCTTTTAATTTTTTTTTTGTGAGGAAGATTGGCCCTGAGCTAACATCTGTTGCCAGTCTTCCTCTATTTTGTATGTGGGACACCTCCACAGCATGGCTTGATGAGCAGTGTATAGGTTTGCATCTGGGATCCGAACCGTGAACCCCGGGCTGCCAAAGCAGAGCATGCAAACTTAACCACTATGCCACTGGGCCAGCCCCAAACTCTCCATTGTTAAGCTGTTTTAATCTTTAGCCATTGTAGGTTATTTACATTTTATGTCTTTTTTTATTATCGTTATTTTGTTTTTAAGTATATTCTTTTAAACCATTTATTCATATCATCTCAATTTAGACTTTAACAATTTCAATGAATATTTCTTTTCTGGAACCACCAAACATCCTTATTTGTTAAAAAATAAACCTCATCAAAAATGCTTACAATGAGAGTATCAGTGCCATGTGGGAAGATCCTTCAGGCTCAGTGACTTTGTGTCTGACCATGTCATTAAAGTCATGTCTGAATTCGATGAATATTAATGATACCTGTATACACTGGATATTCACTTCCTACCCATTAAGAATTCATTATTTCTCTAAACCACTGCATCTTGCAGAGGCACTGATGGCAAGAGGGAGCATATCAGATTTATTCAGAGGGCTTTCAAATTATTCCACTATCATCCCCCATTAAATTCTAATATGGTTCTATCCAGCATCCACTTAGAATTAATACCAAAGAGGCTACAGTTACCAATAGGTTTTAAGGTAGAAAATGGTTGAAAGCAACAAGTATAAACTTTATTTAATCTACTTATATGATTAATCCATGTTTCCTTTTGCACAAATTTCACCAGTGTGCTGTATCCTTTGAAAGCAAGACTACATTTTATTTGTCCCCAAACTACCTATTTTCAATGTCAAAGGAGGTACCCTCTTGTTGAAGTATTTGAAAATTTAATGGACAACTCTGTCCTGGACTGTTTGTCCTCTCCATGCCCTTCAGGAGCAGATTCTGACCCTACATCTCCCTTTTCCTTACCCACGCATTTCCCTATCCACTGCCCCTGTCAGCTCCCCAAAGTTATTTTAATTGCCCTCCTCTGAAACTTCTCTAGCTTTATTTTGTCTTCTTTGAGTAAGTGATCTGAATTACAATTATAATTCAGATGTAGATTTTACTAGGGCTTTATACATGGATGAGACAGTGTTATGTTTTGTTTCCTACAGTTGTCTTTAGGATGACATTTTATTGAAAGCCTTAAATAAATTTTACCAATTTTTACCTTTTGATTGAATATTCTAGTGTTCACTTTGAACTTGTACCTGAAGAAAAGAGAGTGCTCCTAAATAAAGCTGCTAATAATTGCTTAGTATCTTCCTTAAAGTTGCTTAGAAATCATCACAAAAAAAAAATTTCTACAATTCAGGGCTTCCCTGCAAAAGTGTACGTGTCTGCTCATCTTAGAGATATCACCTTACACTGATGACAAGGTAATACCTACCGAGGACCTGCACCAAATTCTACACTGGGCTTTTTTTCTTTTTTTGGTTGACTAAGATAAGTCTAAAATGATCATTTTACCAAGGAAAAAAAAGAATGAGTGTTTACTTCGTGCCGGATACTTTTCTAAGCACTTTGCATGTACTTATCTGTGAGGTAGATATTACTATTCCAATTCTCCAGATTAGAAAATTGGGGTACAGACCTAAAAACTAACTTACCCAAGGCCAACCATCTAGGCATTGGTAGCGCCTCCAACCAGTCTAATTCCTGGGCCTGCCTTCTCGGTGGGTGTCATGTACTTACATATTGTTGCTGACTTTTTTGAAAAAGCAGTAACTTAGCCTATCCTATTTGCTAATATCTTCAAGTTTTCTTATTTCCTATACTCTTTCTCTCCAATTCCTATAAAGTGTATGAAAAAGATTTTATGTTATGTGCTATATTGGTAAAAACCCAATTTGGCTTTCATTAACACCAGCTTCTAATCATCATTTCTCTAAAACTGGATAAAGAGATAAGATTTGTGAACAGAAACTTACAGCATCACCCTTTCCAGGGCCCAGTGGTTAGAGGCCCCACTCCTCCCACACAGTATATTCAAAACAGCTCCATTTGAATTTCTGATACCTGAAAAAAGGTTTTTGGCCCTCAAAGCATGTAGGAGAATTTGTAGGTAATTCAGTGTAACCACTACCACGCTTTGGAAACCTCTCAAGTTTTAAGATTTACTGCCGCAGCGTATATCTCCAACCTCCCTGTGTTGGTGAGTAGTTGGTGACAATACTGCGCACCCAAGGATTCCTGACTAAAAACCTATTCTGTTTTTGCAGTGGATAGCCTGCTGAAATACACTGGCTATGGGAATGCTGCAGGACTGTTGGCGGCCAGGGGCCTCTTGGCTGGAGGAAGAGGAGATAATTGGTACTCAGAGGACGAGGACACAGACACTGAAGAATACAAAAATGCAAAACCAAAGTATAGTATCAAGTTTCTTTTCACCTAACTATGTCTTTGCCTTTGAGTTGGTTATTTGCCCTTTCACTTCTTTTGTCTTTCACTTCCAAGCATTTCTTTTCTTTTGTGGATTTGGAAGCTTTCCATTTAATAGTGTTTTTAGAGGCAGTTTCATAGCTAGTGGGCTTAGAGAGTGACTTCAAGTGATTGAGGAAGGATAATATGGCAGGAAGTGTTCTGCTGCGTGACATCTTCAACATGCTCATTACCCTCTCCAAGCATTGAGAGAGGGTGTCTTTAGAGATCTGCTGTCATATACTTTAAAAGTATTGTTGCTTACTCTTTGCTTTCTTTTCCATAGGTTGAAATTTGTAAGGTATAACAGAACCAAGGGTTTAAATATCTTTCTCAGAAATCTAAATGTAGGTTCCATACATTCTGATCTTCCCTCTTACACAGAAACCCTGAGGACTCAATAGAATAAAGCAGCGAGGCACATCACTAGCGAAAGGAAGGAAGTCTGGCTCCACAGTAAATTTTAATCAGACACTTAGGGAATCATCTTTTACCAGATGCATTAGTGCACTGAACAGGCAAACCAGAAACTCTAGCAAGTCTTCCCTGAGTCAGTGCTTACAAATCAAAGACACTAATTCTTCTCTTATCCCAAAACAAACCACCTCTACTTCCTTCTATTCCCTCCCCATCCTTTTTGTCCCCCTCTCAACCCTCATTTTAAGTAAATTTTTTAGTTTCCACTTATTAGGAGTTATTTGAACTCAGTTTTCTGAATGTTAAAAGAGCACGCCCTTTCCTTGTGGCTTATCAATGATGTTGACATGCTGTCTCCTACTGGCAGTCTTCTGAGTGTGATGTGAATCATGTAGTAGTTGATCAAAAAAAGAAAATCATTATCTGCAAAATTAGGCCTCTTTTTTTTATGTGTAGATTGTGTCTTGTGGACATGGAAGTAATGATTTGTCAGAAAGTAAAAGAAAAGATCATTCCGTAATCAGACAGGACTTATATGGCCTGTATTCTTGGCAAATCAGGTCCGAGTAGGTAGTGTTACTTACAGCATCCCCAGTGTTACAGCCTCAGCAGGATTTTATGGAGTATGTCCTAGAAAAAAAGACTTTTGTGGAAAAAAGCTAGCAGTGACTCTAAGCAGTAAATTCTTAAGACTGTCACCATTTAGATGTTATAAATTGGGCATCTCTATCAAGTATTTGAAGCTAAGTTAGAGGACTCATACTTTAATCTTTCCCTAATTATAGAAATCATCATTCTTAGTCTTGCTAGCTCTTGATTTTTCCATTCCATAAACTATATTTCCATATCAGTTTAATATTTTATATCTCTCCATTTGAGACTTGAAAATATGCCACTTGAGAAATCTTATTTTTAAATGAAGGTAGAAATAATATTAGGCATTCATTGTGTCCCAGAGTATGTGGACACAGTCAACTAAGATAGAAAACTCTTAGGTACTCGAGGATGGTTGATATTGTTGCATCCCAGTGTGTATTGTTGATTTTCTTTGGTAGATGACTTCTATAAAGGTAACAGTCACTTATCTAGCAAACACCAGGATGTTACTATATCAAGAAAGAGCTCAGAGAAAATGCAAGAACATTGAGTCTCTCCCAATAGTTTGGGAAATAGAAATGTGTTACATTATGGCAATGATGTTAGATTTCAGGAGAACACCTTTTGTTTAAATCAAGGACTATGATGTTGATATTGTTATTGTCTTGGCTCTCTGTCATAGGAAGATTCTATATGGAGGCCTTAACATTCCTAACTGGAATCTTCTTCAGCCTTTGGACCTGGCCTATACTGTTCATAGGAATGGTGTGTGAGTGTGGTCAGAACAGTGACCATTATGAGATCTTGTTGTATTTCTTAAACATCGCTCATTACAGGTATAAACATGCGTTCTTCACATAGCATCACACTTTCCCCGTTCAGATAGATTAGCATCTTTTTTTCTTACATCTTCCCTCTTTCAAGTGAAACAGTGTAGTGGGATGTTTAATTTGTTAATTTAAAATGCTTATTCAAATGGTCCCTGTAGAAGTGGTGGTGAATAAAGTACTTTGGAAGCGAGACAATCCTTTGTGCTCTGGGGAGTGATCCACAGAGCTCGAACAACTTTTTCCCTAAAAATTGTTATGAAAACTTTTTACCAATCTGGTCAAGCTTGTGAAGTCAGCCTCTGAAAGGATTGCTTACCTCACCAATCAGTGTGCCCAAGATCACAGTCCGCTTTTTTTGTGATGCATTTATTTACAACAGTTGCTAGTGTTGGCAGAAGCAGAGAAATTGCCCTTGATCCAGTTGGCCCTAGTCCCATTGTCAAAAATGTAAGTGGACTTTGAATAACGCACCAAGGTAACCTGTAATCCTTTAGTGGAATCTGAAACCAAGAATTGTATGGAGCTTACACGCGGGCTATGAGAGACAGTTAATATCACAACAATGCTTTTTGTGTCAAAATAAATTTATTTAATGGACTGGAAATGGCTTTCTGCAATTAGCAAACTCAGACAAACTACACTCATAGAATTACATGCCACACAGGTTTTTGGTGTACATCTAGCCATGTTTGTTAAAAGTTTTCAGATAAACTTTGGTCCTGTATCAAAAAGAAACCAAATCTCTAAATTCTAAATTTTATACCCGTTTGTTTTATGCTTCTGAGCATGGAGACCCCTTGACTGTTTAGATGGTATAATACAACTGACTAATACGATTTGTACATCATTCCAAACATCAATTGAAAGATGTGTACCTAATGACATTTGTCTCCTTTTAGATCAGTAGCATTAGGCTGGATATATAGGAGCCTACTGGTCCAAAGAGGTGTCTGTAAAGGGCTGCTGTATAGAGGGGCAGAGGAGGGGATGGCCAAAGTGGGCAGAATTCTAGGATACCTCCTTAGATTCCTAATACCCCACACTAGTTCATAATCACATCCAGAAGCTTTAAACCTTTGTACCAAGCAACTCAGGGGAGTTTCCTTCTGGACTATATTTCTCTCAGCAGTAGCTGTGGCAGCAGCTGTATAGATAGTTGCTTTAGCACAAGGCAAGGGACTTTGTCTTTTGTCAAGGTTTTGTTATGCTGCTTTAAGTCCCATTATAATTGTCTTTACATATCAGGGCTATACAAATGAAAAGATAGCTTTGTTTTTAATATTGCTTGAAGTAAATGAACCAGAAACCAGAACTTGAAGATTTTTCTCTTTGCCTAGTTTGGGCTTTGTTGTTATATTTATGTATAATAGGATTTAACTAGCAATTCTGGGAACTGGAATTTATTTACTATAAGCAGTCATAAAAAACAATCTAAATTCAGATCTTGCAAAGACCAGAATCGAACATGAAATCATTGCCACTTCTGCCATGTACACTGGTTCCAAAAGTTAACCAGCCTTTGTGATATTTGCAGTCATACCAGTTTTGCCCTTTCAAAACTGAGTCTCCTAATTTTTCTTTTGTATTACAATTTGAGTAAACGGCTAGCAAAAGGCCAGATCTGTTAGCTGATCTACTGTTGAGCTTTTCTCGAGGTTTCACTTCCTATAGATTCACAACATAGTTTTCTATATCATTTATGTCAAGAATATCACTCTTAATCCAACAGCCTAACACAGGAAACAGGAAACATTTAAAAAGCAATATAATTTTAAAAAGGCATTTTGGAACTTTTTAAATTGCCTAAGTGCAACTTGGTATTCATGTATGTATGTGTATTCAGTATGTATATTTGTATGGCTGATACATGATAGACACTTAATAAATATTTGATTTGATAAATGAATAAACAAATGACTACAACATTATCCTAGTTCTTTACATTGCTAATAGAATGTAAAAACTTGGATTAAGATGTTTCATAATTTACCCTCTTTCTTTAATGTAGAATCAGTGTTACATTTACATGGTAATTCTCAAATTACTTGAGGCATTTTCAGCCTCGGTCTCCATTAACTGGTGTCTCTTCAAAATGTCTTATATCTGAATTTACCTATAGCAAACTCCAGAAAACACCTAGTTGTTGCATGGCTTCTTTAGTTAATGAAGATTACACATGCAGCTCCATAGCGATGATTTAAGCAAATCATCCAAGGCCTTCTGGCTTATTTCTTAGCAAGTGGCTCACTTATGCCAATAATAATAGCTGCTATTGGGGCCGGCTCCGTGGCCGAGTGGTTAAGTTCGCGCGCTCCGCTGCGGCGGCCCAGGGTTTGGATCCTGGGCGCGGACATGGCACCGCTCATCAGGCCACGTTGAGGCAGCGTCCCACATCCCACAACTAAAAGGACTGGCAACTAAGATATACAACTGTGTACAGGGGGGGTTTGGGGAGATAAAGCAGAAAAAAAATAATAATAGCTGCTATTTATTGAGTGTCTAATATGTGCCAGGTACTTGTTCTAAGAACTTTCCTGATATTATCTCATTTAATCTTCACGGCAACCCTTTGGGATAGGGTTATCCCCATCTTACGGACGAGGAAACCAAAGCTCAGTGACATCAAGTAACTTGTCCAGGGCACACAGTTCATGAGCGGTCAAGTGGCCTGACTCCAGAGCCTGTGTTTTTTGAGAATTTTGTTGTTGCTTTGCCTACCTTAAAAAAACAAATTTTATTGTGGTTTTCCCTTGCCTTATTATTTTGGGGGTAAAATATTTATAACATAAAATAGACAATTTTAAGTGTACAGATCTGTGGCATTACATATATTCACATTGTTGAGCAACCATCACACCATTCCTCTCCAGAACTTTTTCATCTTCCCCCACTGAAACTGTATTCATTCCCCTCTCCCCACAGCCCTTGGTAACCACCATTCTACTTTGTGTCTCTATGAATTTGACTAGGAACCTCATATAAATGGAATCTAAGTACCTCCTGTAAGTAAAATCATATACAGTATTCTTTTGTGCCTGGCTAATTTCACAGAGAATGTCTTTAAGATTCATCCATATTATAGCATATGTCAAAATTGCCTTCCTTTTTAAGGCTGAATAATATTCCCTTGTATGTATATACCACATTTTGTGTATCCACTCATTCCTCAACTGACACTTAGGTTTATTTCCACCTTTTGGCAGTTGTGAATAATGCTGCTGTGAACATAGGTATACAAATATCTATTCAAGTCTCTGTTTTCACTTCTTTTGGGTATATAATCAGAATTGGAATTGCTGGATCATATGGTAGTTTGTTTAATTTTTTTAGAAACTCCATCCCATTTTACATTGCCACCAGCATTGCACAAGGTTTCAGTTTCTCCACAGCCTTGTCAATACTTATTTTCTGTGTTTTTTTTTAATATAATAGCCATCCTAGCAGATGTGAAGTCAGCACTTATGTTTTGACTGCTACTATATTGTTCCTCAAAGCCAGTCAAAGGGAGAGATGTGTGCCCTTTAAATAGTTTTCTCTGTTCTTAGAGCATCTGTTATCTTTCTTTGATGTAACCAAAATAGAAAATAAGAGAAAGAAAATGTATTTTTATAAACCCTAACATCCTTGAAAGCATGAAAGTTCTATTCAGTTCATTTTAACTTACATAAATCTGTCAGGTAATTCTGTCTCTACCTTCATAATACATTCAGAATCTAGTCACTCCTTACTGCCATCACTGCTACCAGTCTAGTCCAATCTAAAATTTTGTCTCTCGCCAGGATCATTTTAAATAGCCTTCTAACTGGTCTTGTTACTTCTACCTTTGTCCCTCTTCAGTCTGTTCTCAACACAGCAGCCAGCATGATCCTTATAAAATATAAGTCAGACAGTATCACTGCTCAGAGCTCTGCAATGGCTAAAAACCAAGTCCTCACAGGAATGTACTTGCACCCTTTCTCCTTGTGCTCTCATCACACTGGTCTCTTCACTGGTTGTCATGCTCCAAACACACTCCTGCCTGGGGCCTTTGCATTGACTCTTCCTTCTGCCTGGAATGCCTGTTCTCCAAACAGCTACATCTTACTCCCTCACCTCCTTCAAGTTGAATATCATCTTCTTAGTGAAGCCTGTTCTGTCCCCTTATTAAAAATAGCAGTGCTCCTACCTTCACCCCTTCACCTCGCACTTCCTTATATTGCTTTTCTTCATAGCACTTATCGCCTTCTAACATACCCTATAATTTACTAATTCATTTAGTCTGTTTTCCCCACTAGAAGATAAGCTTCATAAGGCAAGAAATTTTTGTGTGTTTTCATTCATTGAGATGTCCCCAGAATAGTGCCTGGCACACAGTAGGCATTCAGTAAATTTTGGTTGAATAAATTAATTTTTTGAGTTGTTGAATAAATTTGAGTCAGTCAGCCCTTTCTGAGTGTTAGGCTTCCAAGGCGATTGAGGTTCCTGCCCTTATCACGCTCTATATCTAGTTGGGGAGTGGGAGCCAGGGAATGGAGTTCAAGAACATCAGGATATGGCCAATTTCCACTCTGTTCTTTTTATTGTTTTGTTGGGGGGCAAATATTCTCGGGAGTTTTTCCTGGAGAGACATTTCTAGCTTCATTAACATATAATGTCTCCTTTCCCACCTCACCTGCCCTCTTCTTCCCTGGTCTGGACTCAGGAATACCAAATACCGTGTCCTGAAAACCCTGATGCCTTTCCTAGAGGTTGCAAATTGTCAGCCACAGGCTAGATTTAGCCCACAAGTAGGTTCTGCTTGACTTGCCTGATGTTACATTGGGTTGTTTGGTTTTATGTTTTTATTTTTTGTTTTACATAGTGCTTAAAGTAATTTAATTACTTGTCAAAATTTAGAATTCAGCTATCACAAAAGAAAATTTGGATTTCTAACTTCTTTTGAGACAGTGGAAGTTCTGGTAACATTAGGCCTGCGTTCTCACATGGCAGCCAGTGGATGGAGTTGAGTGGTCATAGTTCCCCTCATACCAGGCCTAAGCTCCTTGGGTTTGACAGCATGTCCTTTTCGTTCTTCTTACTGCCTCGCCCCTGCAGGCTTTGACTCAGTAGCGCCTTCTTTAACCAGAATGCTTTGGGTAAAATTTAATCTACACTTTTAGAGATTGAAGTTAACTTTCATATAGCTCAGGGCTCTTTTTTGTTAAGTGACCTAGTGCTGTTGACATTGGCCTGATGTAACAATTTGAAGAAAGAGCAAAAGTCTGGAAATTTCTCTCAGCTTTTATGCATTCATTTGCTCCTACCTTTTTAGTATGTCTCAATGTCTTCATCTCCAGGCTCATAGCTGCTGTCAGATCATATAATGGCCTTATGCAATACAGAATTCTCTATGCAATACCACAGATAGGAGTTTAGGTACTTCTTGTCACCTAATTGGAAGACAAGATTGGAGTGCGGGGAAGATGTGGGAAGGGAACAGAGACAAGGTAGGAAAAATCATAGTAAATATAAAATTACCCAATAAAATATCCACCATAATTAGTGTACTTAAAGCATCTTAAGACTCAGAGTCTTGGAAAAAATAAAACTGACCCCAGAATTTCAGTGTTAAGACCATGAAACCTGGAAGGTTAAGTCTCAGACTATACCATTTGAGGTTATAAAAGTGGCAAGTGTTTGTTCAACCAAAAATAATTTTATGAAACCTCACATCATTTTGTTAGGGTGACTATCATTTGTTTTCTCTTCCTCTCTGAGTAGTAAACTGCATGAGACTGGTTTGAAGTGGGGAGTAGGAGGGGAGAGAGCATCTAGGTCTGCTTCCTGCCCCCAGCATATTAACGTTTTCCCATAAGAGAGTGGCATAGTTCAGTGCCCCAATTTGTGTTTTCTGTGGTGGTGTTTACATTCTGAGTACAGGGGGAGGAAGAGATGACTTTTTAAAGGAAAAAAAAAAATGAAACCTGAATCCCTGGAGTGACACTGGGGGGGTGGAATGTTTTCCTTATGGGCAATGGATGGTAAGTTCTTACTCTGTACGAATGAATTTCTGGCTGCTGCTTTTATGCTCAGTAAGCAAAGGATTTTGTGACTTCAATAGCTAATTTCAGAGCAAGCTGTTAAGTCATTTTTAGTAGCAGAGGACTTGAGGTCAGTTATGGAAGATGGACATCATTTACACCAAGCCCTTATAAAGAACCAAGAAAAGAATTTAATGTGCCCTGATTCAGGAATTCATGTCCTGACTTTGTATGCTGCGGTATCCATAATATCACAGAGCTCACCAGTGTGTCCTCCTGACACATTTTTTTCTTTCCTTAAGGCACATGATGGCTTGTGCTAGTGTCATTATATTCTAAAACAGTCTGTGGATCTGATTTTTTAAATCACCCCTTCATTGAACTTGAAGAGAGCAGCTTTTTCTCAAGAGGCAAATGAGCATGATCTACATAATTAATACATCTACCTTCCTTATATTTTCCTCTGAGGCCTGATTTCCTTTGTCTGCTTGGGGAGTGGTATGTGCCTGTAATATAAGTACCTTTACTTATTTATAAGACTAGTTGTTTTTCCAATTTAGCAGGCAGAAGAGAAACTAGTAAAAACATGTCCCATTGTTACATGCCTAAACAAATAATAGATGAGCGGTGGACTTACATTTTCAGTATGGCATCTGGATACATCTTAAAACTCTGTAGTTCTCAGAAGCCTTGTCTGGGTCCTCTTTTGTGACTTTTGGGAAATATGATGACCCCAATTCAGCATTTTTGTTAATGGCCACTAACTAGAGGCCTTTTCTCTTTTTTTATGAGTACTGAAAAAAAGGAGAAGGAATAGTAGCACATAATGAGTGTCTGAAGTAGGCACTCTAGCCCAGTGGTTTTAACCTCATGGTGTATCAGAATCACCAGGAAAACAAAAAAATACTTACAGATTTAGTTGGCCTCAGGTGAGGCCCAAGCCTTTTCTTTAAAGTTTCCTAAGTATTTCTAATGTACAGCCAAGGCTAACAATCACTGATAGCCTGAGGGTTTTCAGGCTGTGGCCCGGAGTTCCTGAAAGTGCCTTCAGGGCTACCTTAAGAGGAAACAAATGAGTGTGGACAAATCGAAGGGTTTAGGCCCCAACTCTCCTTGGCCATCCCTATCCCCTCTTCTGCCTAAGCAGTTCCACTTTTGTCTATTTTATATATCAGCTTTCTGTGTAGATTTCATTTGTTTAAAAAGTGGGGAAGGGAGTCCCTCTGCTTTAAAAAAGTTTTTTAACCATGGCTCTAGACATAGGTCTTAACGCAAGAATGGGAAAACAGATGTTTTAGATCTGGTTTTTGAGGATGGTGAGCACTGA